TGTAGGGCATATGTAAGTGTTATTAACATGGTTTCCATTTTAGATGGAAGACCCAAATGAAGATAAAGAGACACGAGAATACCGGCTAAAACTGCAAAAGCAAAAAGAGCTGAGGGAGCAAATACTCGCCAAAAAAGAAGCTAGAAGAAAAGCAGCTGCAGCTATTAAAGCCTCAGAGCTAGCCAGCAAAAAGGCAAGGGAAGAAAAGGAGAACAACAAGAAAGCCGAAGATCAAAAGAAGAAGGAGCAGCATCCCTTCCAACAACCTCCACCGCCACAGCCGGGACAGATGGATCGGAAAGGGTTCAAAGGTTTGTGTGTTTCTCTAGGTTCATTGTGTTGATACATAAATAGTATAACTAAAAATTAAATACTCCTACACATATCAGACAAAAATATAAAAGCTCTCTGTCTCTTTCTCTCCTTATCACTCTTGATCTCTCCCACACTCACCCTCTCTATTTATCCGTCTCAGAATCACATAATCACCCAGAATTAACCCAGAACATACAAGTAATTCCTATAGTAAATATGAAAGTGATTATTAACCCAGGTGGCAAGTTTTTACATGCCATGACTGTTTGTGGACAAAATAGTGGATGGCATTGTATCATAACCATTCCCATGCCATCAGCTCATCGGATGTAGCTTGTTTTTCTCCAATAGTTGCAGCATCATTTCTGTGATAAAACTTTTAGGCAATAGCAACTTTTAGGCAAGCTTTTAGGTGCCTAATGTTGCTCACAAACTAACAAACAAGCCAGGCGCAAACCAGGGAAATTGTTGATGCACACCAAAACCTTAGTTTGCAACCACTTGAACAAACACCGATCAGAACAAACTTCAGTTTCATCTCTAACTTGCCATCATATCCATTGAAATGCAGTAATCTATTTTAAGCATTAACCCTTAGCCTTTGGCAGATGTTGGGTTCATGTCATGGCTTACTTTGTTTTATATATATATATATATATATATATATATATATATATATATATATATATATATATATATATATATATATATATATATATATATATATATATATATATATATATATATATATATATATATATATATATATATATATTATATATATATATGTATTTATTTGTACTTATATGTATATATCTATATAGATATAGATATAGATATATACATATACATATAAGTACATATATGTTTATATGTATATATATAGAAGGATAGATAGACAGATAGATAGATAGATAGATAGATAGATAGATAGATAGATAGATAGATAGATAGATAGATAGATAGATAGATAGATAGATAGATAGATAGATATAATATATACACATATCAGTATATATATATATTATATATATCATATTGATATATATATGTATGTATAGATAAATAGATAGATAGATAAATAGATAGGTAGATAGATAGATAGATATTTATACAAACATGCACATCTAGCCCCCCCCCCCCTCTCTCTCTCTCTCTCTCTCTCTCTCTCTCTCTCTCTCTCTCTCTCTCTCTCTCTCTCTCTCTCTCTCTCTCTCTCTCTCTCTCTCTCTCTCTCTCTCTCTCTCTCTCTCTCTCTCTCTCTCTCTCTCTCTCTCTCTCTCTCTCTCTCTCCTCTCTCTCTCTCTCTCTCTCTCTCTCTCTCTCTCTAAATGCGAAATTTGTTATGTCCTATGTTACTTGTTATTCATGTTTATTTCTTTTTCTATTCTATGCAGGTGGGCCAAATCAACATCAGATAAGACCAAACCAGCATGGCAGCCCACGCTTACCTGCTCCTCACCCAAACCAGAACAGACAGCGATTCAATAGGCCACGGATGCCTCCCCCTCTGATGCCAGAAGGGCCTCGTGCTCACCACAGCCATCAGCCTCCTTTCCGTAGACAGTCTCCTCCACCTCTTGATCGACATCATCATCGGCCAGATGCTCATCATCAACCCAGTCCAATCAGGACACCACCTCCCTTATTTAGTGAACCACCACCCCTACACAATGTGGATTCGGGTTTCCAGCAAGATGGAATAAGACCACCCTATTATGGCCCACACAGTAATTCAGGGCAGCAGCCTATGCATCCTGTCCTGCCACAAGAGATGCAACCTCACCACCATGGCCCTCCTCCACAGCGGCACATCCCACCCCCACATCCTCCACCACCCATTCACAACCAGCCACCACCCCACATGCAGCACCCACCACCTTCTCACCCTCCACCTCCTCAGCATCATCCTCCTCCACACCAGCCACCCTCTGACATGCAGCACATACCTGGACGACCTAGCATGCCTCCTCCCCACCATCATGGACCTCCACATCTACAGGGTCCACCTCATAGACCCTCACATCCACCCAACCATGGCCCACCTCATGCACATCCCCCGGATCTGAACCAAAGGCCGCCAGTCTCCCAGGGCCACCGTGACCAGTACCACCATCAGAGTGATTCCTTCCCACCACGAGGGCCTCCTCCATTACCTGCTCACCACGAATCAGTGGGAGGACAACGAGACTACAGGGAAAGCCATCGGTTTACAGAGCCTCCTCCATCTTGGGAGGAACCCCATGCCATGTGTAATGACTATAATGAATATAATGAAGTCTATAATGAGCCTAGAGTGGACCCCTATGAAAGGGATGATTACTATCACAAAAACCAGTATCAAGAGGAGCCCCCTTACCAGGACTCCTATTATGATCAACCTTACTCTGAGCCACCACCAAAGTATGAAGAAGAATACCAGCGCCCTCGAGTCAGGGAGGAGTACCCCCAAGAGCCATACCCAGAGGAATCATACCAAGGATATGACCAGCCCGAACAGCAGGAGAATTATAGGCCAGCTGCCAGGAGTAGGGATGTTAGAAGTCGGCTTGGAGGAAGAGTCACAGTCGGCCAAAATCCACATCATCTACAGGTGAATTGATGAGACAAGAATATTTCAAATATAAATCTTTTCAGAATATTTGTTGCATTTATTATCATTGTCGTTATTGTTATTATTATTATTATTATTATTATTATTATTATTATTATTATTATTATTATTATTATTATTATTATTATTATTATTATTATTATTATTGTTATTATTATTATTCATTGTTTTTATTGTTATTGTTAATTATTATTGTCATTGATTGATGATATGAATAATAATAATAGTAATACTAATGATGATTATAATAATGGTAACAGTAATGATGATTTTTATTATTAGTGTTATTAATGTTGCTGTTATTATTATTATTATTATTATTATTATTATTATTATTATTATTATTATTATTATTATTATTATTATTATTATTATTATTATTATTATTATTATTATTTATTATTATTATTATTATATTATTATTATTATTATTATTATTATTATAATTATTATTATTGTTATTATCCTTATTGTTATTTTTCTTGTTCTTGTTATTATTATTATTATTTTGTTGTTGTTGTTATTGTTATTATTGCTGTTATTATTTTTTTAGTTATTATTAGTATTAGTATTAGCATTATTGTTATTATTGTTCCTAATTTTATTACTATTTTTATTATTGTTATTGTTATAATCATAATCATTATCATCATTATTAGTAGTAGTATTATTGATATTATTATTGTTATTATTAATGTTATTTTTTTCCATTATTAATGTTATTATTTTGTTATTGTTATTATTGTTATTATTTTTGTTATTATTATTATTATTATTATTATTATTATTTTATTATTATTATTATTATTATTATCATTGTTGTTGTTATTGTTGTTTTTGTCATCATCATCATCATTGTTACAGTTACTTTTGTTATTGATATCATTATTACCTTTCTTATTACTACTACTATTATTATTATTATACTTAATTACTTCTGATTACTACTACTATTGCTATTACTACTATTTTATTATTATTATTGTACATATATTATTTTCAGGTTAAAGTTGTCCAGAATCTCTCAGAAGAAGCTGAGTCTCCACCAGCACAACCTCAAATCGGACAGAAAATACAAACTGTGCAACGGCAGCAACCAGCACGCTCACGTAAATACAAAAGGATTACAAGGAAGAACATGAAAGGAGAAGTTATTTCAGTAAAAAAGGTTAGTTTTTACCATGTTTAGAGTATTTTGCTATAGTTATATATGAATGTGTGTCTTCTCTCTGTGTGTCTCCTCTCCTCTCTCGGTGACTATTTTCCTCAATTTTTTTCAGATCCCAGTTGATGAACACGGCAATCAAATTGGACCTCCAGTAACAGAATTTGAAGCCAATGAGTCTTATATGGAGAGCACAAATACTGCTGCTTCAGTTTCTAGCAATCAACAACAGGTAAATTTATTTGTGTAGCATTTATTTAGGTACGATATTAGAAGTGAAATAAAGTTATTGTGTTATTAATTTGTTCTCTCTGGTATCCTAATTTAAGTTTTTGTATTAGGTTTCACAAAATACTGTCATCTGTTGTCTTCTGAAACTTTGCTTTTGTTTTTCATGATTAGCGAGTGCCAGTTGTGAAAACATTGCGTCAGATAGTTAGGAAAGTACCAGCAAATCGACAGCAAACACAGCAGCAGCAGCAACAGCAGCAACAACAAGTTCCACCAGTAACTCAGCAACAGGTCAAGCTAAGAGAAATTCCACAAGCTGAGCAGAGCAAAGCACAGACTCAGCAAGGAAAAATTGTAAAGAGAATGGTTGTATCCACTGGAGATGTATCATCACAGGTAAGGAAATTTATTAATGATTATTAAATCTAATTTGAATATGAACATGCTACACTTTAAAGAAAATTATATGTTATATTGTATTTTATGCTGTTTTTGGGAAGAACCTTGAAGTATGGGTGAAGCTATGGCTATATGATTTATGTTGTTAAGGAAGAATGCAATGTGTGCCAATGTAGGTTAAAAAAACAAAAAAAAAAGAGAACTGTGAAACTTTCCAGATCAATAGGCATTTGTGTTACCTACAATGTGCATCACAATGTCATGTCATTACACCAG